TATGGGTTGGGTTATCTTTGTCATTGAAAAGCACTTCGGGTTTAACGATCTTTACGGCTATTTATTAAGGATCTCATGAGAACGCTGAATTTTTGTTCTAATGCATATGCAATTAGAATCAGACTGTGCTGGTACGCTGAGTGAATTGTATGTTTAAAACAAACAGTTTAATGTTAAAAGAAAAGAATATTCATATTTTAAGTATTTCACACAATAAAATAATATTTAAAATATTTCATTTGTACAAGGACTTTCTACCAGATACATTTTAATGGCTTTCTGAACACTAAATAGTCACGAAATCGTTCATGGTCAAGTAGAAATGAGAAGTGTGAAATATGCAATGAATGGGAAAGTACTTTGAGAAAATATATAAATATTGGGTTATTATTTTCAATATTGTGAAAGAAAACTGCAAGTAATCAAATAATATTCAGCGTTAATATATAAAAGAATACTAAATGAGCGTTATTACCCAAGGAGACTATCATCACAATAACAATAGAACTATAAATAAATCTCCATGAAAAAAGAAAAAAATACTTATATTGAAAAGTTCTTTTAAAAATATGATAAAACTGCCCTGGCTCAAAAAATAATGTCTAACTAAAAACTTACTCTAATCTTATTAAGTAGATCAAGCGCTGTATCCAAGTGGCCTTCTGACAATTATATGAACACACGTCATCACTGCCTAACCTAACCTCTTAAGTAGCAGCTCCAAAGCAACTCCAGTTTCAGTTCCTAGGAATACAAATATAGCAAAGTACGAGCGAAGAATACAAGCGGTTAGATAGAATACTTGAGTTAACATAAAACCTTCGGATTAGAAATTAATCCTAATCCTATCAGACGCAGCCGAAGGTTGAAGCATGATAATTTTTTGTGACATTCTGATCTATTATTTCATCGATAACCAAGCCTACATACTTAAAGAGCTGGCTTAAATACTTCAGAGATAAAATCTCTGGCGTGATTCACATGATCGACTTGGAAGCTCCTAATATAATAGTGTTTTTACACGATATTGGAGTATAACATACCAGTATTTTTCGCTCTATCGTCGACATAGATCTAGGCTGAAACAACCCTGTAGATATATGATAGAACCGATAGAGATATATTTAAATGCGATAGAGCTAAACTGAGACAACTCTGTAAATCTTTGTAAAGCATGTCTACCGGGTATCTAATAGGAGTCACCAGAATACCTGCTGGTGTTCGCCTCATTCCTCAATTTATTCAGTAATATATTTAACACTGACATTAGCCAAATATTTGCATTTATCAATACATCTATCAGATTTTATATTGCACAATCTTCCATCCAAAATTTAAAGGTGTGTGGAAACAAAACAGCTTTGTAAATTAATTGAGAAGGATTCAATCCTTATTTTACTTCACCCTGCTATTTATAATCAGGTATGCATTGAAGTTAAAGAGGCTATAGTCCTACTAATTAAAATGTATATATAATTGAAATTATACTATATTATGTCGCTGACATTTTCATATCAGTTAATGGTAATTAAGACCAGCTATTCCTGATTAAACATTGCCTTCTCTAAAATAATTCAATCTACATTTTTTCCAAAATACAAATTGCCCAATATAGTTATGACTAACTTTTGATCTTTAATTTTGATTTTATTAATAAGTATCTACCATGAAGATGGATTTCGAGAAACAAATCTACCTTTAAAAATTTTTTTTATTCATTTCTTTTATTTAATCTAAGACAGAGTATCAGTTAACTAAATCAGCTAGGGTCTTTTTATGTGTAATCGTCTCAGGCGATTGATAAACTTACAACCGAGCTATTGCCTAAAATACTTTCTCAGCCAAGCTTAAACGTGACTTTAATAAATTTTAAGTCAAACTTAACGATTTCATGATGGTTTAAGTTTAATGCAAATTAAAATTTAAAGCTCAAATGAACTTTATGTACTTAAAAACGTAAATTCTATTTATAAAACACAAGCAGTTTTCAAAGTAAAACTGTTAAAAAGTGAAGATACTAACGCCACACGAAGCGCAAAAAAATTGAAAGGGCAAAGTGCAGTTATTTTTAGCGATGAGCAAAAAATTATATAAAAAAAAAATAAATAAATACAAAATTTAGTTAAAGTTTTGCAGTTTTAAATAATTTTAGTTTTCATATCAAACGGGATTTAATGTCAAATAAGCAGCTTCCATAACAAATGGAACAGTAATCAAACAAAACAAAAGACTCAAGCCACAAACCTGCGATTCAGCAAAATGGAAAACATATGTGCGCCTCAACTCTCAATCGAAGATGAACGAAGAAAATCCCTGCACAGTGTGAGGTGTGGGAATATATATTTTTCCTTAAATTGTCAGTGAGTACCTCTAAGTAGTATTGTCATTATTTTCTTGCAATAAATAATAAAAACACGCACATGTTGAACAAAAAAAAATAAAATTATGAAACTCTTATTTACACAAAAGTGAGATGCCTAAACTCACCTGAACGGAAGATAGAGAAGGTAGTTTTCTTGAGGAGGAAAATTAAATTCACGCACTTGAATAAATTTTTTTTTTTGGGTAATTACAATTGCGTACATCTTAAGCAATTGACAGACGGACAGTGAAAAAATAATTTTTATTTAGTTTTTTTTTTTGTTTATGGTAGGTAACGCAATTGTGTCCACTTTTTCTTTCAGTTTAATAACCTTATTCTTATTTTTATTTCTATATAATTCTTAACATAAAAATAAAACATAAAAATCTGTTGCAGTTGAGTTCAGCGCTGAAAATCGTTTTCAGAAATTTTCCCAAAACCTTGTCAACATTTGTTGGCAAAGATTTTGGGAAAATTTTCGTGTGAGAATATTATAAGTCGAACAACCGAAACAAATGAGAAAACGGTAAGAACAGGAGCAGATGGGATATCCCTGATCATTGATGTATTCAATTTTAATGATTATATTTAAGGCCAACATATACAATTTTAATTGAAAGGATTTTGGTAAGGTGAAAAAGTACTATTTAGATATTAGATTCAGATTATTAGTTCATTATAATATCTTAAAATTGTTGCTGCCATGAAAGAATCAGGAGAATCAGTAGGTGAGAAGGAGGAGTAACAATAGCTCCCCAAAAGTGAGATTCTGGATTATTCAATCAGTCTTAGCTGATAATATGAAAATTTTTTTCAAAGATTTTAAAGTAAACAAAATAAAAAAGTATTCTGAGTTTTGCATTATAAATTATAGATATAAGTAACATCATGTTCCTATTAAGATGACTTAAACTTAAACTTTATAACGCAGACCTCATATGTTCTTCAAAAAAGTTTTGTGGTACAATGAACTGTATTTGTGAATACATAGATTTTTTTTCCATTATGACCAGCGAAGCCATAATAAAATAGTTTCATAGTAATCTAATTGTGTCAATAAAAAAATAATAGTTAACAAGATAACACTTAAGTGGGTGGGTAGGTAAAGTAGAAGGAATATAGAACTCTACCTAATTACTTTATGAAACTAATATCAGAATATAATAATGATCTCAGAGAGTAATAAAATGAGTATTGATTTTGCCAAAAACTATAAGTCCGGTTCTAGAATTTTTTGGACATAGATACAACAAGTGTGCCGGTGCCCCAAGTGCCGATAAACATGTACTACTGGAGATTCAACAGGGTAAACCTAACCTGGTTCCACGTCTTTCTGTATTCCACTGTTTTGTTAGGCCCGTTATTAACAATAATATTACCGCAATTACAGAATAATAGCAGTTAATATTCTGTAGATAGGCATCATGTTCTCTAATTACAGCTGATTCTTTTGCGGCAACAATAGCGAAGCTTCTAATCGGAAATTTAATATTTAAAAAATTTAAAACACAATGCATATTTTTCAATCATATGTCTGCGATTTATGACGACTGTGGATCTCTGACTGCAAGACACTCTCTTACTTGGCAGTTGATAATGAACGCCCAATATAAAAAACATGTGTAAGAATTGATCACATGTCTTTATAATTTTAAAAACTTAATTATTAAATTTTATTTAAACAAATACTTACGTTTTTTTGTAAATTATATGTTAAAAATTATATGTGTATAATAATATTAAATTATATATAAAAATAATCATTTGCAATGCATTTAAAAAAATTTTAGCACTGAAAGTATGCAATGAAATTATTTTAAAAATTTTCCATCATCTTTGCTACGGTATAATATTGTCAGAGATCGTTTGTGTGAATAAAAGACCGCAATTATATATTAAACTTAAAGATATAATCTTTTATATAAAAAAAAGTTCGATTTTGTTAGTTTTCAATCAAAGCAAACGTAGACTGACTGCAAAAAATGATGCTGTAAAGTTATAATATTTAATACTTAATTTTTTTATGTACTATCGTCTAAATAAGTAAATTAATACCGCATCACTAAATACTATGTATTAAACATAACAACTCTTATATTTTAATATAAAATATTTTATTCACTAAAGCCTATTTGTAATCATTAATCAAAGCAAATTGTTTTTATTTTTTTTAAATAACTTAATAACCAATAAGACCAGCAAAAGACATCACACTTAAAAGTTCAAAATTTAATTTAGGTGTATAAACTGTTTCAATTAAATAAAAGCTAATTTTCTTTTTTTTTGATAGTTAGTTTAATTCAATAAGACCAGTAAAACAAAAAATAAATCAGTTACCAAGATGAAATAATACCTAAATTGATCAATTTATACAAATTTCACTAAAAATTTATTATTATATTATTAAAAATATTTTTTTTATTAAACAACAATTTTAAATTATAAAAAATTATAAAAAAAGGAATAAATTTTTATATATTTTATTAAACAATAATTGAAAATTAATTATTAAAAAATATTAAAAAATAATAAATTTTTATTTAAATTTAATTCTTAACAAATTTAAACTTCTATACGTCATTAAACAAATAATTAATATTTTCTCAAATAAAATATCATTGCATACTTTCAGTTGCCACTAACAATTAACCAACAACATAACTTTATTAACAAAACTCCAAAAAGTGAAAAAACTTACCTTTAAAGCGCAGAATATACAGTCTTGTCCACTGCAAACATGTTGGTTTAGCGCACGAAACGAACGTCTAAAAGCGTCTAAGTGCCACAAGACCTGCAAGAATAAAGACAAAAAGCAAAACGAAAGCAGCATTAAAATCAAGTCACTCAAACGAGTTTTATTTCATACAAAAAAAAAAAATTATTATTTTTTATATGGTAGCGGCCATATTTGTTATACAGACTTAAAGCGGAGAACCTCAAGAAAACTAAGTGCTAGAAAACTTACCCACACACAACACAACCCAATACAGCACAACCCAACAAAACACAGTATAACGACCGACTCAGTTTACTTGTGTGCGTGTAAAGTTTTTGTGGGGAAATGAAATATAAAAAACTGGTTTCTTGCCTTGCTTTGAAAAAAGAAACTTTGTGACTGGGCACATTGTAGGTATACATACTTTAAGCTGCTGCAGCATTGTTGTTTGTCTTGCGGATAAGTCAAGCAACTTTGCTTAGGCACTTGTGCAGTTGGCTGGCTACTTGGGGTATCGGAATAGGTACAGTTTTGTGGTTTTGTTGCTAAATGTTGCTGAATTGGTTTGAAGCTTTTATAGCAACATTCGAAAATGCAAATAACAGCAATGAACTGTGCTGTTGTGGTGTGTGTAGTTGTTGTGGCGTGTATCTTGTTTGCTTGTATTTAGTGCTTATCTGGCTGTGTTAATCGTGTTGACTGTGATTGACAGAAAAAAAGATACTTTTAAGTTTTTTTTTTCTTTTGTAATGTATTTACTTTTTTATTTACTTTAGTTGTCGCTGCTTGCCACACAAGAAATTCAAACAAGCAGTTAGACTCATGTTTTCCTTTCTATTTTTAAATTTTTCATATTTGACTGATAAGTTTTGTCTTTTACTCGTTACTCGTTATTTGCCTTGATTGTAGGTTGTAGCCAGTCAATCTGTAGCATTTTGCGCCAAAACTAAGTTTCGTTGCTTCTCCTACATCCCCCGCCACCAGTCGCTGCGAAGCTGGTGTCGCTTCTAAGACGATGGAGACCCGCGACTTTTTGCCACCATTTTGTGGCTTTGATTTTTGACTTTTTGTTTGATTTCTGTTCTGTTTTTTAGCTGATTAACCTTAAGTTATTTTTAAAATATTTTTGAGATTTTTCAAACAGAAAAATAAGCGCAACTGCGTACGATGTTTTACGATTTTTTGATCATTTTTTTAACACACTCTCTTAGGTGCAGAGTTCAACTTTGTTTGGGTTGCTTACATTTTACCAGTTGAGATTTTTTAACACTTTTTTATTCAAATTATATTCAAAGCTTCATAAATTTCTGTTTTTTATTTTCTTATATGCTACTTTATCATACCATTTTACTATTTTTTATTACTCATAATGTACCTTAGACAAAGCAAAATGAAACTATAATTGTTTTTGCCATTTTTTAATGAATTTTAGTGGAAAAAAAATTAACCTTCATTAGCACAAATTTTAAGATTTATAATTTTCCTCTCGAAAATTAATTTTTTTCGGCACCTTTTTTTTTGAAAAGAATGGGGGTCAACATTTAATATTTTTATAAAGATTTTTTAGTTTTAGAAATACATATATAAATATCGCAAAGTTAAAAACCTTAGAGTTTGTTGTCGTTCTTATAAAAAACTTTTCTAATTAAAAACTATTTTTGTTCTATATATCTTACATATCTTAATATATATATTAATGTACTGCTTTGTTTATGGGTTTTCCGAGGAAACGCTGCAATTGTTCCAACTGTCTATCCATGTATACAATTAGCGTTAGGTCAGGTTAGGATATACCGGCGTTTCCTAGTAGATCCACTTAGGCCTATTGGTCCATTGTGTTACTGTATATGTAGAAACTCTCAAGATTTGAAAACACCTAGAACCTTCAGCGAATATAGGTTTAGAACCTATATTAAGCGTTAGATCAAACAAAATAGCGCAATAAAGTGCTTAATCGGAATAAAGGAATAAAGAATTCCAAGAGAAGTACTCGTGGTAAGCTAAGAAAAATACGGCTGCGACAAATTATTTAAAAAAATTTAACAATATTATCTGAGAAAGAACATTACAATGCATCAACCGAAGGAAATGGTTCTCTAGCATTACAATAGTTACCTCAGCTAATTAGGAAATGAGCATATAAACATATATGTTTGATATGCATTTAACAACATTAACATTCTGATTTAAGAAGGGTTAACAAAATAGACCAGTAGGCCAAAGTTGATGTCTGGAATTATTGCCACAAGATAAGCTAATATCAATACACAACTATTCCAAGTACTTATTAATATAATTATTCTAACTTTAAATATATACACATAATGGGCACATATCCACATAATCCATATATTATGGATTAATATTCTAACTTCAAAAAAATTCACATAATAGGCTAGCAGGTCGACTATAACGTAAGATACAAATTATAGACTGCTATATGTGTTTTATAAAACCATCTTCCTGGTTTTTTAAAGATAGAGACAAACTTGATCTTTAAGATTAACGCAATATCCAAACTGAGTTAAAAAGGATACAAATAAACCTCAATAGATTGCAGGCTATATAGTCTCAAAAATTTTTTTTTTTTATTAAAATATCAACTTATTATTGTTTAAAGTTGATTTTTATTAAATTTTATTATTTTTTTAATTATTTTTTTTATAGCTGTTTCAACTAAAACATATATATTACTTGCAAAAGTTGTTTAATTTCCTTTGAGTTTGTTTCTAAAACTTAAAACCCTTACATTTTATTTTGAGATATATAAACCACCAAATATTTTTTTTTAATTCAATAAAACCAAAAACAACTTAATCTGCAATGCAATTTGGTTAGCGAAAAATCAGAGCAAAATCAACATTTATGTATTCAGTCCAACGACAGAAACTAGTTTAAGATTTTGATCACAAAATAAAAAAAAAATAGTGTTGTATACATAAAATAATTGAACTGTTCGGCTTTATTTTCGACTAGAAAAATTTAAAAAATGATAGCAAAAATAGTTAAAAACTGCAAGCAGCAATTTTGCTACTTAAAACTCAACAAAATGATTTAATTAAAATTAAACAATAAAAACTAAAATTTATTCTTATTACAAAAATATTCCAAGAATGCAAAAATAACAATATTACTCATCAAATTTAATTAGAAAAATATATTTTTAATATGTATTTATTGGAATTTATTAAAAGTCTCTCCCATGTGTGCATTTCGACTCGAGAAATAATTTATGCAGAAACTGCTAACAAGTTTGTTGCTTAAGTCTTTTGAGTTGTGGCAGAAGTTTTTGTTATTTTTTGACATTTATTGTTATTTGCAACAACGAGCTTTAATGTTAAAATTTAAATAATTATTTTTATTTTGCATAAAATAATATTATATAAATTTTTGTTTTATATACAAATTTTATAAAATTAAAGTAATATTTTTTTTTAAATAAATTAATTAATTTAAGCCGAAGTCAGTGGTAAAGCAAATGAACGCCTACAAGCGGTTGGTATTACAATCTGTTATATATTATTTTTTATCCTTTATTTATTTATTTTTTTTAATCTTTTCTTTCTATTTATTATTAATTTATTTATTTAATTTTCTTTTTTTTTTTTTTTGATGCTATTTACAAAAGCAGTTCAACGTTTTTTTACAAAAACACTGCAATTCCCTAGACATTTAATATGAAACTTTTTACAAGTTTGTAATTAAATAATTTCTTTTATATAAAATCAAATGCATAACGTTTTATATGTGACCACATTATAGTTAATGTAACTAAAAACTATTAACATTTTAAACAAAAGCTAGTATTTAATTACTTTATTTAAATTTTTCTAATATTATTTATTCATACTGTAATTTATTATATATGTATATTATTTAAATAGTTTTATAATATAATGTTTAAGATATGTAATGTGACTATTCAGGTTGCTAGTAAGTTCATAGCTATTATCGTACAAGTCTGAGAAGGCTTGCCGTATTTATTAATGAAAATGGTTTAAGCATTGACCTAAAGTAAGCAGATTTATTTTTCTTCAATCAAAACATAACATAAAAACCATTCTTGGCAACTGTTGGGCTGAAGAATTGGCTGGAAATGGTATAAAAATTTGCATTATATCATTAAATCATTAGACACTGATCATTATACACTGAACGACACAATTTCCCCACTATATCATTTGTGTTGAAAACAGCCCCTCAATCACAGGGAAGTTAGCTTTAACGTTATTAGTTCCTCATAACATAATTAGATGTGGGTATCTTCCTTTGTCACACATGGACTACCTATACATGTAGTTCAAATAGGTCGCTCAAAGATGGTAGAGCAAACATATTAAACTCCACATATGCCATAATCATTATCTGAATTCAGAAAAGAACAAAACTATTCACCACAAAAACCTTTCCAGTTTGAAGGTTCTGTTAGCGATCACTCTAATAGCTGCGGTTCAAAATAGAAAGACGGAAATTTTACTGATAGGTATTATAGGTTATAATAGCATTATTACAGTTGTATTATTGTAATATTATTAATATACACGTATATATATCTATATTTTTGTTATATTTTCTTATATAGTTACATTAATTTTTAACGTCCGTTTTGACAGAGTGAAACTGTATTCACAATATGTTTAAACTATTGTTTTCAATACAGAGGTTTTTATTATAGTAAAATAGCAACAACAACAATTTTTTATTATTTTTATTTAATAGAATTTTTTTGCTGACCATTATTTAATCACATTAACAATACATGCATTCTTTTATTATTGTTAAAAGATTATTTGTTAATAATACTATTTATTAATATTATTATTTATAACTATTTATTATGTATATTATATATAGTATTTATAAAATATTATATGTTTATAATAATATATTTATTATATTATTTTTATATATATTTTTATTGTATTAAATTTGACATTAATTTTTTTTTATCAAATTAATTTTAATTTTATTTATTTTCTTTTTATAATTTTTAATATATTTTTTATTTTTTTTTTTCTTCAATCCATTTATTTGTTTTTCATATTTGTTTTGCTTTTTTGATAATATTAGTTTCT